GTTGTAAGAAAATAAGGGGAAAGACTTTGCAAATAAAAATACGGCTTTGTTCATTGCTTTGTTGACTGGTGCGGGTACCTGCTAAAAAAACGAGTGATTACCATGGAGAAACATTCAAAACCAAAAGAGATGGGAATTCAATATTGTTTATCAAAGCATTTCAAAAAAAGAGATGAAAAATTGGTAGAATGATTCCCATACCTCGTTACTGTATTCTGGAATGTGAATTGCACAAAATTAACAGAATTTCACTGGTTTAGCTTATAATCCTGGTTTCTTAATTTGCTTGTCTTGACTAATTGTTTTTTAAAAAAGAAAAATCTACCTCTCTTTAATTTTCCCGTGAACTTGATTCCCACTCTGACTTACCGAATTGAACAGATGATTGGAATTAAGGAGTCGAATTTTGAATTCTAGTTTTTTGACAAGTAAAAGAAACCAAAGGTCATGGTCATGGTCATGGTCTGTGTAAATTTGGCAGTAACCGCTAGCAGCATTTATGGTAGCAATGCCAGTATTCTGGGCCAAGCTTCCATGGCCTTGATATGAATGGAGGAAATTCATAATGAATTTCCTGGATGGTGAGTTTTCGTATCTTTACCCACAACTTGCTACATACGTTCATAACCAGGGGACCCTACCAGTTGAGCACTGCCCTCAACCACGATCATTGTAGTTTAGATTCATTCATTGGCTAACAAGGAAGATAGTTACTCCAGCGTTCAGATGTGCCACAGAAGAGATCATCCGAAAAATTGATCCCAACTCGGAAAACTCATTTAATTCATTCAAACTCAAACCCAACGCAACTGAATTGCAGAAGAAACTATTAAATCAAGCTCGGAATAATTCGAACTCAATAACAATCTAAATCCCAGACTCGACACAATTCGAATTCAAAATCGACCTGCAATGAATCTCAAACAGTCCGAACCCCAAAATGATCCAAATCTAAATCATTTGCCCATAATAAAAATCAACTCAAGCTTAAATAACTTAAATAC